AGGGGTGGGTGGGTGGGTGGTGGAATGACCTTTTCACAGGGGTCACCTAAGACCACTGGAAAAACAGATATTTGTGATTTATAACAGTAGCAGAATTACATTTACAAAGTAGCAACAAAAATAATTTTATTATTAAAGGATCACAGTATTAGGGATATTGAGAACCACTGATTTAGAGGATTCATTTTTAGCTAGCTTTCTTTTCTTTTTTGGGGTGGGGCAGTTAGCTAGTTTTCGTACTAAGGACTAGAAGAGCAATTAAGGAAGCATCTATGCTTGGTATGCTTTGTGAGAAAAAAATTACCATTATTTGAGGATATTTATCTATTACTGTGTGTGTCACAGTGCACATGCAGAGGTCAGAGGGCAACTATGGGGTCAGATCTCTCCATCCACCTTTACATGGGTTCTGAGTAGCAGACTTAGCTTCTCAGACTTCACAAGCATGTTGCTGCCTTGCGGATCCACCTTTTCCCAAGTATCACTTGGGGGCTGAATTTCAGTACAAAGTAACCAGCAAACTGTTCTCTATGTAATTATGCCAGTATATTGAGTACCACAGACCTATACATTGTTTCCAAGCCTGGCCTGGCGGCACATACCTTAAATCCCAGCACTCTAGAGGGACAGCCACTTGTCTGACCTGCATGATGTCCTGGGTTCAGTCCCTAGTACTAGGGGCAGGAGGACCCAGACACAGGAGCCACATTTAGTTCAAGGCCAGCCTGGGAATTCCAGGCCAGCTTCACCCTGTCTCCAAAAACAAATCAAATGTTAAGCAGGAAAAAGCAACGGCTGGGCACTTTGACAAATCACAAAAAGACCCTTCCCATCATTCTGGACCAACAAATGCTTGTATTTGTTGCTTCAACACTTGTTACTGTTTCCCCATCAGCCGCTTCAATTCTCTTTCAGGAAGTTTATGTTGTGTATACAGTTATACCTCACACAAGTCCAATATGTTGCAATTCTCAAGTATCCACACCACAGCACTTTCTTTGATGATTTCATTCCTAGGTACCCAATGGAAACAGAAAAACAAATAAGAACAGGCAACTGTGAGAGGCTGGACCAGTTGATGGACTTGCATCATTTTGCAGGTGGAGGAAGGAATGAAGTCAGAAATGGTACTACTGCTTGCCACTCCTCCCGGGTTATAAGGCAACCAATCAGACCAGAGCTCAAAGTTGTTCCTACCCAGCGTACCCCGCAGGGCAGGGGTATGGCTCAGATGCAGTCCTACCCACTAAAATACTTCACCAAAACCAAATACAACAGTGGGGGGGGGCCTAGCACGTTGTTTTGGTTTGTTTTGTTTTTAAACTCAAGAAATAAAAAGTTGCCTTTGTTTCGGTGTATACACCTATGATCCCAATACTGGGGAGGCGGGGCAGGTAGATCAAGAGTTCAAGGCCAAAAATAAAACAACCAAGGCCAGGCAGAGTGGTACATGCCTGTAATCCCAGCACTTAAGTGGCAGAGACAAGTGGATCTCTGTGAATTCAAGACCAGCCTGGTGGACATACTGAAGTCCAAGCTAGCCAGAGCTACATAGGAAGATCCTGTCGAAAACAACAACAATAGTAATACACCACACCCAGCACAGCCCAGGGCAAAGCAGAAGCAGATTCGACTCACTGCCCAAGTGTGAGTTTTCACAGCATCACTACAATCTGAAGATCTATTTCAACAATCTGAAGATCCATTTCAACTACAGTGGCCACTGAGCAACCCATTCCTCAACTTGGTCTACAGTTTTTATCTTATGTTTAACTTCCTATGAGGACTTAACTAAGCCAGTGGCAAGGAGCCAGGGCTAAGAAGTCAAGTAGCCAGAGGAATGTGGGACAGCAAGGTTGCAACCAAAGAGGAAATGCTACTGGCAGAACTCATCTGTGATATGTTTGTGACCTTTAAATCACATCTCCAGGTCTCAGCCAATTGTGAACAAGCGGGAGAAGAGCCGCATGGATTTGCAAGTACTTTAACTTCATTTAGTTGAGGGACCACTTCAACTGGGGAATCCTTCTGGTCTACACAGTAGGTAGGTAGCTTGTTTCCTGGCTCACTCCTCCATCATAAGGCAGCATCCATTCCTCCATCTCAAATCAGTCCTCAAAGTGCTTCCCAGCTTAGAGGAGACACAGAAAAGTACTTCCTGATTGTCCAAGGACAGACATGAGTTTTAAGATTTTTTTGGTGGGGGATCTCCCACCCTGATTCCCTAATGAATAAGCTACCAACCTCTCCTTCTGGGTCAGCACATTTCGTGACCCAGAACACCACCATGAGCCCTGAATCACAGTCCTCTCTTGAACACTGACTATCATTGTTAACATACCTGTAAAATTATATCAACCTCTAAAATGGAAGACCGAAGTGGGGTGTGATAGTGCATCCATTTAATCCCAGGACTTTGGAGGCAGAGGCAGAAGGATCATGAGTCTGAGACCAGACTTGGCTATGTGAGCCAAGGTCTCATATAAACAGACAAACAAATAAATACAGGTTAAACTATAACCTGACTTCTTGAGGCCTTCCCAAGCTCCCACAGAACCAAGGAACATGAACAATGCGAAACATGTTTGGGCAGACCCACACGTGACAGTCAAACATCACAAGAGCAGATAAAGATAATCTTTTTTTTTTTTTCTTTTTGGCTTTTCATACAGGGTTTCTCTGTGGCTTTGGAGGCTGTCCTGAAACTCACTCTGTAGACCAGGCTGGCCTTGAACTAAGAGACCCACCAGCCTCTGCCTCCCGAGTGCTGGGATTAAAGGCGTGCACCACCAATGCCCAGCTAGATTTTGTTTTGTTTTGTTTTTTTATTTTTGGACTAGATACGAACTATCAGTGATGTCTGGCCTCAAAGCGAATTTTATTGTTCCAGGGAGTGGGACAGGCTGCTGAGTTTTTCACACACACACACACACACACACACACACACACACACACACACACAAATCAGTATCATATGTAAAATATCCCACAGGAAATACACATCTGAGAACTTCTGTGGGTAAAATGGATAACCCAAAAAACGGTCAGAACAGATGGTTTTCATCAAGAACTGTTTATGTCTACCTAAATACAGCATCTCAGAACCCAGATCTACGATGTCCACAGTGACAACCTCACCTCCATCTTCTTTCCCTACCTCCAACAAAGTCCCCACCATTTGGGAGGGTTTGGGTTTTTGTATGTTGGTTTGGTTTTGTTGAGACAGGGTGTCAGGCAATCTTAAACCAGCTTCAAACTCCCAAAGAAGCAGAGGATGGCTTTGAACATGTGCCTACGTCTAGGATTACAGGCAAGCAACACTGCTAGTCCAACACCCACCACAACTTCAAAAAATTTAAAGTGACTGAAAGCTCAAGCCAAGGAAATCGAGAGGCAAACTTTTCTGTTTTGGTTTTTTGTTAAGGGCCTTAACTATGGTTTTAAAGCCCATCTTTGTAAGTCCTTTTATGACCTTTAAGTTTTCGGCTTAAAACCAGCTCTGCAATTAGACGGTTTGGCCAAATGGAACTGCTAACTGCTTCTGTTTCGAGAAAGGGCCTGGGGCTTTCGCTGTTCCAGGGAAGACCACAAGATGTTCCGGCTAATAAGAAAAATGCTCCTGCCCCAGCATACACCAGATGTTCCTTCCTGTTATTCCCCACTTACCCAATTTCCTTGGTGCAGGGCTATATAAGCCCACTCTGAGCCCCAATAAATCGAGGCCTTGACAATGCACAGATGGACTCTGGTCCCCTCTTTTGCGCCGCTTGGTCTCCTTCCCTTCTCTCGCCCATGACTCTTTCAGGCAGCCCCCCTTCGGAACCCTGAATGACTGACTGAGGGACGGGTCAGTTTTTCAAGACAGGGTTTCTCCTTATTGCTTTGGAAGCTGTCCTGGGACTCCCTCTGTAGACCAGCTAGCCTCCAACTCACAGAGATCCACCTGCCTCCGGAGTGCTGGATTAAAGGCGTGCACCATGAACGCCCGGCTTTTCCAAACTTTTCAACGACACATAGAAGCAGTAAAAGACACCTAATGCACTCCCATGCCCTTGTGTCCCAAGACAAAATACCTAATGCAAGTGCAACGCATATATATGATTATAACATATATAATCATATATACTAATTAGCTGGACCTCAAGTGGTAGGGAGCACAAGCATAAGTCCATCGATGCAGGGAGCACTAATATATAAACGATGGCCATGATCTACTAAACTGATTTTTCAAGTCACTTATGGGAGTGTTTGAAAGACACTTCAACAGACCAAACCTTCCAGTTGCAACCTTCCAGCTATAAACGGGCAGCTGAATATCCAGATACGGCACACACACTGACCAGGACTGGCAGTGTCCAACTGTGACTGCAAGGCCCTGGGTGCCAGTATTTCCCAAGCAGGCCAAGGTGACTTGTCTCAGCTCTTGCGACCTATACACAATCAATCCCTTAACGTCTCAGCGTGGCAAAGCTCGCTTACTGCGCTTAGTGAAAAGCAGTATTTCCTCCTGTCCCCTTTAAGAACCCGAAATTAAACAGGTGGCGTTTCTCCTGTCTTTGCGATCGTGATCTGTGTAGTGACATACAGAAAAGAGGCGGTCCGCCTCTCCATCGTCCCAGACCTAACCCCTGCTAGGTGAGGTCTTCCGTGAACTGAGAAAGCAGGGAACCCCCTGGACCAGAGGAGTCACTCAGCCTGACAGAAGCGAAAGCAAGGACGACTCCTCCCTCTTTACATCGAAGAGGCTTCCAGCAAATTCATCTGCAGACCCAGTGGGAGGAGGAGCAGATAAACTATAGGAGACGCGCCAGAGCCACCTGCCTAAGACACTTGGCCCGGGCAAGCCGCAGCCCCCATTCCCCGGGGCTCCACTTCCCAGGCCGGGGTAAGCAAGTGAGCGAGCGCGCCGAGGGGGCGCGGGAGACGCGGAAGCGGCGCGGGCAAACAGGAGGGTCCAGACCTGAGGCCTCGCGGAGGCTGGAGACCCCTCTCACTTGACCCTGGGCCCAGCGGAGCCTGTCTTCACCCCTCCCCGAGAGCGCCTCCCCTCCCCTACTGCAGAGAAGAAGGGGAGACGA